GGCGGGCGGCCCGCGGCGCATTAGCATACAGCTGCGGCCCCGCGGGCACGCGCCGCCGCCTCCCCGCCGGGGCTGCGAACCCAGAGTCCCCCTCAGCCATGGGGCTGCGCGCCGAGATCGCTCCCTTCACACCGAGAGCCCCGACACCGCCGGGGCTGCGAACCCAGAGTCCCCCCTCAGCCATGGGGCTGCGCGCCGAGATCGCTCCCTTCACACCGAGAGCCCCGACACTGCCGGGGCTGTGCACCGAGACCCCGCTGCCCCTCGTGCCGCTCTTACCTGCAGCCGGCGGCAGTCTGTAGGCGTCGGTCGGGGCGTACATGGGCAGCTGGGCGCGGTGGTGGCGCAGGTAGCGCAGGACGGGCTCCCGCAGCGGCGGCGGGCCGGGTCTCTGCTCGGGGTGCTGCTGGGCCGCGGTGGGCTGCCCCGGACCCTGCAGGACAGAGCTGTCGGTCAGACAAACAGGACTCGGGGCACGCTCCGGAGACGCGGAGTGTGGCAGCGAGGTCACAAAACGGCCTGAAAACATGTCAGGGCTAGGATACAGGCAGCACTGGGGTGTGGAGTGAAGCTCACACTGGTGGCACTGAGCACACCCTGAGGCCGGTGGTGCTCGACTGTTTGTTCCCCTCACAAATAACCGGCCACAGGTGCAAGGGTTGTGTGGAACAAACCCGCGTGGAACCCTTTGCCAGAGGAATTCCACACTTCCCCCCCACTCCCTGCCCTATATTTACCGTGGCTTTTAACCGAGTCTCAGCCTGGCCCAGCTGCAGCCAGAGCACCAGGCTGTTATTCCTGATGGAGGACAAGTGCTGTTCCGGCAGGTCTGGCACGGCACGCGTGCCCACGGCGTGCGGCAGCATCCAGCAGCTGATGGAGGTGCAGCCCCCAGCCCTGCCATCTGCATGTTTGCATCGCCGGGGCTGCCACAAACACATGGCTGCGATCCCCGAGGGGTAAACATGCCCCGTGCCAGCGGCCCTGCCAGAGCCCGCGCTGCCAGGGCAGCCTCGGGTGACAATTTCAACACAGGCTCCTGTCCCCAGAACATAAATGGCTTTTCTATGCAGTTAGTGCTTCGATTAGCAAATATTTCTGCAAATATTACTCCTATTGCAAGACAACCAATTTCCGCTTTCTCTGGAAACTAACCAGAAATATCTGACTTCTGTGCATTTATGCCCACAGCTCTTAAACATCTCTTTCCCTCATTTTTAGCCTTCATTAGTAATTTTTCTGCATGCTGAAAAGAGCTAGAATATGAACATCAGGGGGGAAAGACTCGGTCTCTTACTTCATACAGGAAATACAACCAGTCCTGAGGCGTTTAAGAGATACTCCAAGAGCACATGGTACCTTACTCTGGATCTGGGAATGTGCCCAGAAGGAACACCCAACGAAAACATAAATTGTGACATTTAGTAAATATTGTTAAAATCACTGTGGGGAAAAAAAAAAGTCCAAAATGCCAAATTTTCATTCAGATGGAGATACCATCACCTATGTCCATAGTAATCCTGACTCACACAAAGCTGCTTCCAGGCCGTGCAGGGAGACTCTGTGTGTCAGGACTGCTGCCACAAAGACAGGGTAAGGCAAATGAGTCCTTCATTTGCAGGGCACAAACTCCCCTCTCTCAAGTTGTTCACACTTACAGCATGACAAGTTTGAATGATGGCAAGAAAAACCCTTCACATCAGGCCCCTCATTCTGCACAGAACTTCATTTTGTACTCTTTTACAGAGGTGTTCCAAGAGCACCCAAATTAAACTGCACCAAGGCCCTTTCTGGGTCAGGACAACAGGAGGCAAATAGCTTTGAGCCCTTTGGGGAGGAGGCAGGGCTGAGCACGTGTGGCTGCAGCTGGGATGCAGCAGCATTGGGCCCTGGAGATAGGTGGGCCATGGGCTCCACTTCCTCCTGCCACCCTGCCTCCATTTACACTCAATTCCATTTGTTTTCCACAGAGTTAAAAACTCCGTGAGCACATGTTTAAAACCCAGTGCCACCATCTGGAACTGCATGGGCTTAAACAAAGGCAGAAGCAGCGTGAGCAGGGACAGGGTGAACTGCTCCCAGGTACTGGGTTGGAAGCACCGAAATCAGACCACAAACTCTGTTTGGGATCAGCCAGAAGTTCCTCAGGAGGTGGGGAAGGCAGCTCTGGGGGCTGCCTGACACCTGCTGTTATTAGTTGTCCCCATGGAGCACAGTGACTTTGGATTTTGGGCAGGCAGTTCCCGGCTGCTGAGGCTTTATGCCTCTGTTGTGGTGCTAGGGCCAAAGTTGTAAAACAGCATTAGCAAACATTTTAATTCCACCCTTATTCAGGAAATCCACTTATCACTGAAAAAGCCAGTTGCTTTCACCCTTTGGACTACAAAAGCCATTCCCTCCGGTTAGGTGTTGAAAAACCTACCCACAGACTCAGCTGAGAGAGGTGTAGGATGGCTCATAGTATATTCCTATTAGGGAACACTCCTAAACCCAAGGGGGATACATGGATAAGCCAGGCTCCAGATTCCACTGGGTACTTGTACAAAATTGCAGCTATAGTGCAAAAATACAGTCATGGACAACAAAGCAAGTTCAAGTTCTACTGGCAGATTTGAGAATATACCCAAACAAAAAAAGTGAACACTGTGCTGTACATGGTGCCCCCCCTCTGTGAGGTACACAGTCTGCTCTGGCTTCCCCGAAGAGAGAGGTAAACAGAAACATAAAGCTTCAGGATACAGATGGGAGCAGAAATCAAAGTGACCAACACCAACAAATTACCTAAATAATAAAATGCACTCGCCAGTCATTTTTCTTACCTGTTCTGACATCAGGGTTTGGCGCAGTTCCTTCTGCAGATCAATAAACCGATCGTGATAGATGGCCAAGGACCAAGGTTCCCTGAAGTAGCTGGGTAAAAAAGAAGAAATTTAGTTATCTTGTGAACCTCTCATTAACCACTAATAAAGTATTTACCTGCTTTTTTGCCTTTATAAATTACAGTTCTGGACCCATCATGATCGTTTGTTCATAAAATGCCTCCTTGTAACAGCATGGTCAATCAATTCTTTTAATGGATGTTCCTGATGTACAGCCAGCTTCAGTAATTACATTTAAAGTGGCTTAATTCAGAGCTGTGGCAAGACCCAGTGAAGAATCCTGATTTTATCAGAATTTAAAAGCCTGAAGACCTGTAAAGAACGGTGTCTCCATTATCTGTCCTCATTTGAGAAAAGCAGATTGCAGGATTAACTGAACTACTGCATAAACAAATTAAATTTGTGTAGACAATGACACAAATGTTGTTCATCATTAAGGTTTCTGGATTAATAAAAGCCAGAAAAACAGGCCACCACAGGGTTGCAATATGTTCTTTGCACTAGTGTGATGAAGCTAAATTGAACCGATTCTAGGAGGAAGCTCTTGTAACTTTTTCTTTCAGTGACAGCATTCACAGCAGCATTCTTCCATGAAAGAGGAGGAAAAGGATGGAGAGGGCACTGCTCCCTGTAGAACCTCACAGCTGTAAATATAACTGGGGGCAGCCAGATTACAAAGCTGTGATTTACTTCTCTCTGTAATGAAAGATAAATTTTACAGCTCGGGTGAGATGCTCGGAGTGTAATTCTTGTTAATGCTCACAGCGGTCAGGAGGTGCCCCATGCTCATCTTCATAATGACCGAGCAGATGTCAGCAGGCTCACCCGGGAAGTTGGGAGAGGAGGATATTTATGTGGTTGCCACCAACACCCATGCCTTGGGAATGGCAGCAGGATCCTGGCACTGCCCTCTGGAGCACAGGAACCTTCTCAGCTGTGTGGACTTTAAGTGAGCACCTGCATAAGGCAACTTAAACATGCTACACACATTTAACGATCCTGAGATACCTGTCCACAGAGAACTAATGTGCAGTTTCCTCTCTGCAGATTTTACTTCCTCCATATCAAAGGACAGGCTTTCCCCCTCCTGCTCTGAAAGACACCTCAGCTCTCCTTAAACCCATTAAAATGCTCTGTGCACCTGGCACAGCTTGGCTGGATGTCCACATGCTTGGCCCCTCTCTGCCCCAGCACCCTCATTCCCCTCTGAGTGCCAGGCTGGCTGGGGCTGCCTCTCGGAATCTGCTTGGTCTGCAGCACAGCAGGGCTCTCTCTCCCCCACAGACCTTTTCAAAGTATAAATATTTATGGACACCATTCCAAGCATCTCATCCTTGCTGTAGCAAGTGCTGCCTAGCTCAGGAGTTACTGGGACTGACACTTGCATGCTCATTTGGATATGCAGGTTGGGATGAGCTCAGCTTTAAGGATCCTTGTTTCAGTAACTGCACA